CTTAAGTCGTAGAAAATTGACCAATCACAGTCGAATATGAGAAGAATAATCAACTGTGATTGATCAATTTTCTACGACTTAAGACCCTACGACCATTACGACTTCTATTGTAGACCCCGCATTACCACGGAGAAGGTGTCGATGTAGGCTGCGGTCCACTTGACGCTACAAACGCTCCGAAGCATTCTTTGATTAGTCAATTCGTAAAATTCTTTGTTCTGATTGGCCGTTCAAACGCTTCGAAGCGTTTGTAGCGTCAAGTGAACCGCAGCCGTAGAGACGCGACTCGGTGGTCGACGGCGACGGTTGAAATCGATCGGACCAATCGCAACGTTCGTTCGCAACGGACGATAATAGACTAGCAAGGGAAAAACAGGCAAAACGTCGATACGCGGTGCTACAGCCCCCCTTTACAGTGACTGTGTTCCAGCTCTGCTGAGTCTGCCTGTTGGAAAATATTGTTGTTTCTTGAAGACGTTTGCGACAGATTCACAAAGTTAATTCAAAATGGTAATTAAATGCATTGTGCGGATATGAGAATTTGCATAATTTGCTCCACTATTGCGACACTGTCTCGCAATTTGTTAAATGCAACGTGTTAATTCGATGATTACCCGACGAAAATAATTTTCGAAACGATTTATTTGAGGTATACTCACTCCACACGAACGGATATGTCCTAAAAATCGTTTATCTTGCAGGGTAATGAAAGTTCGCTGCCTATGGAACTCTGTTCAAACTGTAAGTTGTCAGGAGTGTCTTGACTTTTACTGGATCTATTTTAAAGTAACCTGATCTGTTTATAAAACTCTGATTATAAAACAAGATAGGCAACACTATTTTAGAGATATACTTATTGTATCCTCAGTGAAGTAAATTGCACAAATATAATTCATATTATTAGAAATTCAAGCATTGATGATTAAAAATTTGTTAACTTGCATGGTCTTGATACAGTATTTTGTAATATGTAAATATGATTGTGTGTAAATATTTGTTCTTCAGTCGACGTAGATGAGATTAAAAGATTGGGGAAAAGATTTCGGAAGCTAGACTTGGATAATAGCGGAGCACTCAGCATCGATGAGTTTATGTCCTTGCCTGAGTTACAACAAAATCCGTTAGTGCAGCGTGTAATCGACATATTTGACGCAGATGGCAATGGAGAAGTAGATTTTAAAGAGTTTATTCATGGAGTGTCTCAGTTCAGCGTTAAGGTAGATTTCGTTTTCCTACAGAGATTATATTGTGTTTTTATACGTGATCTTAATTTGCAGGGTGACAAAGAAAGCAAATTACGATTTGCATTTAGAATTTATGATATGGATAATGACGGTTACATAAGTAATGGAGAGCTTTTCCAAGTGCTAAAAATGATGGTAGGCAATAATTTGAAAGATACACAATTGCAGCAAATTGTTGATAAAACAATACTGTTTGCTGATAAGGATGAAGATGGTAGGATTAGCTTTGAAGAATTTTGTTCTGTAAGTAATGCATTCGCGTCTTGTATAATGTAATGTGAGCAGCATGTTATATACTTTTCACGACTGTTTCAGGTTGTTGGCAATACAGATATTCATAAGAAAATGGTAGTTGATGTTTAAGTGACCAAAGTTTGTGAAAAACTCTTAATTTATAAAACGTGGTATGTTAATTGAAATCTATAAATTAATAATCTATTAACAACAGATTTATGGGATAGTTCTAACAGAGATCTGTTTAGAGTGAACTTACACAATTATTGTTCTTAAGCCTTTGATCAATACAAATCTATCCAAATGAAAAATTTTCATGGTATGCCAGACTAATACAGTGTGGCACACAAATGTTAGATCTATGTGATACAGTCATTTTGGTGTCGTTGAAGATATTCTGGAACGAACCAAATTATCTTGAGCGTTCCATTAAAAATAAAAATCAGCAACGTGATCTTAAATAATTAACAACCTTTAACTGGCATCTTAAGTTTAATGCTGCATGATTTCCAAGATTTTCCTCGAAAATTTGCGGCAAAGTCAGTCTTCTCAAGCGCCTGTCGAAAAGGACTTTCAGACATATAGATGCACTTTGTTCCTTTTAATAATTCTCTGTGGAAAAGCACGAAAGTAAAATCAAATTGCATTATTAATATAATCACCATGCCATGAAACCTATATCATATTTCCGTCATTGTTCAAAAACTAATTGTTAATATCTTTGACGTTTTAATATCGTTAAAGATTTCATTCGTCGGCGAGTTCTTAAGGATATTTACTTTTAAACTAATATCTTAATATATTAATATTTACAAGGGTGCGTTCTGAGTTACGCATGATGTATCATTTTATCCTTTATTATTTGGTGAACAACAAGGACAAACGATGCATCATGTGCTTCATACGTAACTCGAAACGCATCCCAAGTATTAATATATTAATATATTAATATTTTGAAAAAGTTATAAACATTTAGATAAGCCAACTATTAAAATGTATTTATGTTATATAATAAACAATCACGAATTGTGCATTCGGAAGATACAGTGAGGCGGATTTTGCAAAGTTACATAAAATATTAATTATATTAACCTATAAGTCTACTTGGTTAGCCTTTGTGTGTATAAGATGTGCGTGTATAAACTGTATGTTGGCATTGGTCAATTTGTAATTTTCGAATGTACGATTTATTTATTTATTTAGATATTTATTTATTACGTATATACACGATTGGTCAGAAAGATATTATAATTTATCTCTACCAGATACATTAAGATATTTATAATACAGATAAGTTTATTTTATCATTGTTAATTGTTTCTATGTATACTTACATGTTACATGATCTTATCATATGTCTAATTAAAGTTTAAAATTGTGAAATATATTAAGATAAATCTATTATAAATATGTACGTTCATTTTCTATATGTATACAGAATATGGACGTTCCTAACGATTTAACCCAGCTAACACTAAATATTCACAGAAAATTCGATTCGTATTACTAATGTATCGAATGTTCCGGAACAGTAAAAGAATCGTTACAGCATGTGATGTTCAGTCTAACACTAAATATTCACAGAAAATTCGATTCGTATTACTAATGTATCGAATGTTCCGGAACAGTAAAAGAATCGTTACAGCATGTGATGTTCAGAATATTGTGTGAATACTCTTTGTATATTTCACGAAAATCGCTAGCAAGCGAGCAGTACAGAAGGCCGCGGCGAAGAGCATTTACTCGTAAACAAGAATCACCTAGGAGAAAATATAAGGAGCGCAGCACTTCGTCTGTGAACTCAGTCCCAAAATTGGGCTCCAACGCAAAATTTTGTTTAAAAACTGATTCACGAACGACCTGGAATTTTTGGAAAAATTAAAATTTTGCGGAATATATATGGAACATTCTCGGATGTAACGATATAAATGAAATTTTTAATCGACATTTGAATATTTTTTTTACATATCGTAAATATTCGGAATATTTTGGAGTATTCTTGAAATGTTTTTTGGAATTTTAGGAATATTTTATGAATATTTCAAGAATATTTAGCGTTTGCTGGGAAATTAGGCACATTTATGTTATTACAATAATTTATATTCTGTGCTGTACTATATTTTAATGAATTGGTATACTCGTGCAATAAATTGAAAAAGTGAAACAAATATAGTTTATTTTCACTTCAATTTATTGCACCGTATGCATTAATTCAAAGAGTTTTTTTGATAAAGAACAATTAATTTAATTTTTAATTTAACAAGTCT